CTCTTCCTGCTTTTCTTTCCCCTTCAGCACTTTCCAACACTCCCTGTTCCTGGTCCCCTCCACACTGTGCTCCATGAGGGCTTGGGGCTGCCCTGGGTAGGGCTCTGTGCTGCTGCTCATCCCTTGTCACACTCACAGCTGGGACACTGTTTCAGAAAAGACCCATCACTCTTTTCCTTGGGTGAGTGCCATACCCTGCACTGAGCCTGGGATCCTGGGAGGTTTGCAGCTATGACTCCTTCTGGGTAAATTCCAGCTTCTGGAATTTTCTGGGGTTTGACTGTTTGATCCATTTTTGGAGATCTTTATTTCCCCAAAACCCTCTTTGCAAAACCTTCAACTTCTTGCTATGTGCTGGCATGGCTGTCCTCAGCTCCAGTTTCCCCTCTGGCTTAGCACAGGTGGATGGTTTGAAGCTGCTTTACCAGCACCTATTCAAGTGGCTCCAGAGCAGCCAGTGTTATCCCTCCACGGAATGTTGTAGCCAAAGTCCTGGTGGGGGGTGGATCCTGATCTGGGCAGGGCTGGATCCACAGATCTTGCCCTCCCAGCCCTGTGGCTGAGCTGAACCTTCTTCCTGCAGGCATTGCTAAGGCCCGAGCTGCTGGGGAAGGAGTTCACCCACCTGGAGTTCCCCCGCAGGATCCAGCCCAAGGAGCTGGGGAAGAAGATGCTCTACAGGGACCAGAACATGAATGGCTGGTAATCCCCAACCCGCTGGTGGCACTGGGGTCCTGCTGTGGTGGCTGCTCCTCTCTGGCATCCCATCCCACGGGGCAGGGGGCTCTGGCACACTGGGTACCCAGGTCCCAAGTAGGCAGCAGAGCTGCTGGAAGCCTTCACCTGCTGACACCTTGTCTCTGGCTTATTTTAACCAGGGCTTACAAAAAGATAGAAGAGGATGACCTGAAGTTTCCACTTATCTTTGGGGAAGGCAAAAAGGTAAAGTATTGTGATAGAAGTTTGGCAGAGGTTGTTTCATGCCTGCTCTCACTGTTTTGGGTGATTTCGGCCCATTTTTGGTAGTGTTGTCATCACCAGTTCTCAGCTGGGAATGGAGCTGGGGATAAAGCTGCTTACAGTTCTCTTTTGATTCCATCACTGTCCAGGCTCGGATGATGGCCACAATTGGGGTCACGAGAGGCCTGGGAGACCATGACCTCAAGGTGTTCAGCTCCAACATCCACATCAAGCCTTTCCTGTCCTGCTTCCCAGAGGTGAGCCTGGCTTCCAGCTGCTTCCCCCCAGGGGTTCCTGCAGTGGCCGGAGCCACCTGGCAGGACCAGATCCACGATCTGCCCAGGGCAGCAGGAGCCTTCCCCGCCTCTCACCCTTGCATCTTGCCGTGTTGCCTGCCAGGTCAGGGTTTATGACCTCACGCAGTATGAGCACTGCCCTGACGATGTCCTGGTGCTGGGCACCGACGGGCTCTGGGATGTCACCAATGACAAGGAGGTGGCTGCTGTGGTGATGGAGGTGCTGACGAGCTATGAGCCCAACGACCCGTGCAGGTGAGCTGCAGGTGGGCAGGGGTATGGGCATGTCGTGCACTCCACCACCTCCCCTTGGCTGGCTCCTCAGAGCAGTGTTGTGGCCACACGTCCCTCTGGGCTCTGCAGCGTGCATTGCTCTCCTGGATGTGCATATCTGAGCCTGGATCTCTCCAAGGGACTCTTTCCTGTACTTCTAGCTGCTCTAGCTTCTCCCTCCTTGCCAGGATGCTGCATCAGAGGTCTGGGATCACTGCTGAGCCGTTCTCTGCTGTGCCTCCAGGTACACCATGGTGGCCCAGGAGCTGGTGGTGCGCTCACGGGGGGTACTGAAGGAGCGAGGCTGGCGGCTGGCCAACGACAAGCTGGGCTCTGGTGATGACATCTCTGTCTTCGTGATCCCCCTGGGTGGCCCCGGCAACTACACGTGATGCTGAATGAGCCTGGGGCAGTGGGTCTCACCTTGCCTGGATGGAGACGAGTGGGACACTGTCGCTGCCTCAGGGCCACCCCTCCTCTAGGCACTTGTTTTTTGAGCCAACTGCAAGAAGAGTAAGAAACCTGGACCCTCAGTCTGTGCCCCTGTCCAGAGCATCCCCCTCCACCTGCTTGCATCCCAGTCCCAGGTGGACACGGAGAGGCCTTGGATAGAGAGTGAACACTGGGGTTGAGGGATGTTTTTATGCTGCTACTTTCTCAATGCTGTGAGAAGCCTGAAGGCTCCTGGGCTCCTCAGCATATCCTTTGCCTCTTGCCATCGCTGTGTTGACTGCAGTCCTGTGTGGCAGCCATGGGGCTGCTGGGGTACTCATACCTGCTGCAGTCACCCCCAACTCCTGCCCTGTGATGCTTTGGCCAGTGATACTGAAGCTGCTGCTGGAGCTGGGAGCTGGGGTTCACACAGGGTGTGACTGGGAGTAAAGTCCCACAGATAGCTGGGCAATGCTCAGCTTGGCACAAGTCCAGTTGTGGCCCCACAATGGTCATCCCAGCCTTGTGCTCCCAATTTTCAGCCCCTCACACCTTCATTCTGTTGTGGACCTTGTCTCAGTCTCCAGTCTAGGAGACTGGAGCAGTGACCCAGCTCTGCTGTGCACCCAGAGCCCTGAGGAGGGATAAGCCATTGCACTGGCACTGGCTGTGCCCCAGGTTCTACCCCATCCTCTCATGCCTTGGATCACTGCAGTGCTTCTGGAGCCAATTATTTATTAACTGGAGAGCTGAGCTGGAAGATGTCTAAATCCTTTCTTGGTATGGAGTCTATGAATGTATGTCTATATTTTCGAGTGGTTCTGAGTTAGCAGCCTCACACAGAGCAGCCCTATTCAGGTGAGCTTAACAGCTTAACTGCACTGGATCTGCTTAACAGGGCTGGGAACCCACAGTAAAAGCAGCTTGGTGTGACCAGGGCAGGGAAAGACAGTGCCCACATTCTCCTTAGTGATCTCAGAACTGGTGCAGAGGGGAGCTGGAGCAGTTGATCTCTGCACAGGATTTTTGCATCACATCTCTGACCTGGAGCATCCATTTCCCAGACTTCTGCAGAGTGTTGCATCCTCCTAAACTGTGAGGGATTGTCCCATCCTGACAGTATGGGATGGGGAGAGCTGGGCCATGGTCTCTCGTTTGGGAAAGGCTCCGTGGCACCAGTAGTTTGTGTCCTGTCACTAGGTGCAGCCAGCTCTTGTCAAGTGTCACCTCTGGTGAAGGTTGTTTGTCTCCTGTAATCAGTGAGATGTAAATAAACTGGGTACACATAATGGAAAATGAAAGTTATGCACGAGGTTTGAACCTGTTGGCATCTATGCTGAAGGGAGCAGGGAGTGGTGCTGGAGCTGAGAGCTTGTCCTTGTGTAGCACTGTGTGTTTAAATAAAGATTTTGCCACTCGTAGTCCTACTTCAGTCTTCCTCTGCAGAGCTCCTGCAAAGAAGACTTACTGAAAAGCCAATTAGTTCTGATTAATTTATGTAGGCAGGCAAACAGGCCTGTGCAGAGCCATGTGAGCTGCTGTCCATCTGCCCTGCACTGGTGAGAGCCCGTGGAGTATCCATCCGTGGGCACTGGGAGCCACTGGTGTGCTGCCAGCCTCAGCTTGGCGCTGCCTGGGGCTCTTGGAGCCCTGGCTCTGGCTGGGGGGCAGCAGCAACGGCCTCTGGTGGGAACAGGAACATGACTCACGGAGTGCAAGGGAGAAAAGGCAAATGGTTTTCCTGCCTGTGGGGAGAGAGTGGGGCAGGCTGTGGCTCTGAGGAATGTGGCTATCCCAGGGAATGTGGCTGTCCCAGGCACCCAAGCAGCAGCTACCTCTGCCTCGAGGGTGGGCTGCCTGCTGGAAGCATCCCTGCTGTCCCACGTCCCTCTGATGGCCATCTGGTACCCCGATACTCCTGGTGCTCTCTTCACACTTGTTTGCACAGCCCTGTTGCCCTAGCACATTCCTTTTCATGCTGGTGGCTGAGAACTGGCTCTGCTTTTCCAGGTCACTGCCCGGCTGTTGGATAAGGCAAGGAGGCAGAGGCTGCTGCATTTAAAGCTTCCTCTGTGGTTCCCTTTTTTACTAAGGAAACATTTCCTTTGGAACAAACTCCTGGCCTGGGGCTTGATAAATTAAGAAAAATTGTCTGCAAGCCCTTAAAATAGCAGCGGTTTATGAGCCTGGGTCTGGGCCAGGCTCCTGGGGCTGCCTTTCCCTGGCTGAGGGACAGGAGCTCTGCCCTGCAGCTGGATGTCCTGGGGACAGCGGCCGCCTGGTCCTCCCTGCCGCCTGCCTGTGCTGGGCACGGCGAGCCGGAGCCCACCAGTGGCTCTGGGGTCACACCACGTCTGCCAGTGCCCCTGTGCAGGGGACCCTGGCGTGTCCTCAGCCCCCTCTGTGTCTGTCTTGGCTGCCGCTCTAACCTGGCACGGGCGGTTTGAGGGAGCTGGGATCGCCCCCTCCCCACCTGGTCTCGGGAACCTGAACCGGTGGAACGCCCCGGGGGCGTCCGGGGGCTCCGCGGGGAAACACCGGGGGGGTCCCGGGAGTCCCGGAGCCGGGCGGGGGCAGCGCTGGGACGGGCTCGGCTTGGCACGGCTCGGCACAGCCCCTGCCTCTGCGGCACGGCCCGGCACGGCCCGGCACGGCCCGGCACGGCCCGGTACAGCCCGGCACGGCTCGGCACGGCTCGGCACGGCTCGGCACAGCCCGGCACGGCTCGGCACAGCCCGGTACAGCCCGGCACGGCTCGGCACAGCCCGGCACGGCCCGGTACAGCCCGGCACGGCTCGGCACGGCTCGGCACAGCCCGGCACGGCTCCGCACTGCTCGGCACTGCTCGGCACGGCTCCGCACGGCTCGGCACTGCTCGGCACAGCCCGGTACAGCCTCGCACGGCTCCGCACGGCTCGGCACAGCCCGGTACAGCCCCACGCCCCCGCTCCGCCCTCGGCACGGCCCCGCTCGGGGCGGTGCCCGGAGCCGCGCGGCGGGGCCGGGGCTGAGCGGGCTCCGGAGAGCGCAGCGGGCTCGGGAGCGGGACGGGGCACGGCGGAGAGAGGTGCGGGGAGATGTGCGGAGAGGTGTGCGGGGAGCGGGGAGAGGTGCGGAGTCTGGGGGAGCCGAGCGGGGCTGGGGCACCGCCGGGGACGCGGGGGACTGGCGTCCGTGCTGGAGGGGGGACACTGCTGGGGTGGGTGGTACTGGTGAGGAGTGGGGCCAGAGCTGGGATCTGGGGGAGCTGAGGTCTGGATTACCGCTTGTATTTGGGTCTAAGTTACTGGTGGAGTCTGGAGAAACAGGGCTTTGTTGTTAGTAGTAGTGCTTGGGGGAACTGGGACCAGGGTTTACGCGTAGGGTTTGGAGGGATTGAGATCTGGGGTTAGTAGTGTGATGTGGGGTTACTGGTTCTGGTAAGGTGTGGGGTTCCTGGGCTGTGGGGTCAGTGCAGGGTGGGGAATGGGTCCGGCCGGGCTGCTGGGTGGGGTGGGTGTGGTGAGGGATGGGTCAGCTGCGCCTCAGTTACTGCAAGTTGTCACCCTTGGGCTGCGGGTCCCAACTCACAGTTGTCTCCCAGGCAGTGTCTGACCTGGGATGAGAGCCTGGGGGCTGCTGCCCCATCCCTCATCCCTCCCCACAGCCCCCACTCCAGCAGTGTCCCCATGTACAGCCCTGCTCATGGAGTGGCTGCTCTCTGTTTTCTTCAGAAAAAGGAAAAAAAGTTCCCTTTCCTTACTGCTGAGCTCATTCTTAAACATTTATATTAGGGGGGCTTTCGGGGAGGGGAAATAATTGTGTAATGTCTTAGGAGCAGGGGAGCATTCCAAAAGCATGACTGCGTGGCCTTTTCCAGCACTAGCAGTCTGGCAGCCAAGTCTCTCAGTGGCCGCCAAGCTCCCTAAAGCCAGCCCAGCCTCTCAACCCCCCCGGGAGAACCGGACTGTGATCCCTGGGCTGTGGGGTGGGCTGGGAGCAGGGGCCAGGCTGAGCCCCCCGAGCTGACATCCCCAGGAAAATGTTCCAGTCGGGAAACTGGGCACTGGCAGTAGTGGATTGGCTGGCTGGCTGGCTGTCATGGGGACCAGTTGCATTTTGTTTCTATTTTGCCAAGTGCTCTTGGTATCCAAACAGTTTTAGTTTACGTCCAGCTCCTCCTCCTCAGCTCAGGTAGAGACTCTGCATGAGATTTTGTGGACTTTCTCTTGCATCCAGGTTCCTGACAGCTACAGCTTCTCCAGGGAAAATATACGTAGAAAATAAGTCAAGTCACTGTCTTCCAACAGGTTATCAGGAGCGTTTAACCAGGCTCACCTCCCAACTTGCCGTTTGCACTGGAGAGGCGTGTTGACATGAAAAGTAAGGAATTGTATTAGCAAATATCGATCGGCGCTGGGGCAGGCAGGCGTTGCACAAGTAGAGGCATCTGCAGACATTGTGGCATGTTCTTTGGAGCTTTCAGCAAGACACTTGTGCTACCGTGAGGCTGGGAAGGCTGTCACTACTGCAGGAGGTAAAATAAGAACATGGCATGATGTCCTTTGGAAAAGGAGGTAAGGGCAGGCAGCTTTTCCCACAATGCTCAAACACTTGTGGTTTGAGCTTTGTTTAAGCTTTCAAATTCTTCTGTTCCAAGTTCCTTTCTCTGTTTTGCTTGTGGATGGTTTTTGTGGGATTTAGCAATGGAAACCAGCCAGCCTGGACACTCTGCTCCGGGTCTGGGTCTGGACAGTTGCCCTTTGCCATTGGAGTGTGTGTTGAGCCCAGCCTGCCTGGTTGTGCCCAGAGAATATCTCCAAAAATATGGGGAAAGTCTAAACTCGGGCACTGGGTTGAGCTCCTATTTGGAGGATCACTTGCTGTTTGGATGTATGAGGTCTGAGGAAGGTTTCAGGCAGCTCCCTCAGTGGTGGCACAGGCGTTTCCCTGGTGCTGGGTGGTTGTGGCAGCAGAGGCAGGCGAGGCTGGGGGCACTGGGCAGTGGTGGGTGAGGTCAGCCCTGGGTGTTGGCGAGGGCTGCTGGCCTGGGCAGGGCTGAGGGTCAGGGTCGGGACTGGAGTGCACAAACTGCACAGCCTATGGCTGCATGGGCAGGAAATTACAGCTGCTGCTTTGCCAAAGCCAGCACCACTTGGATGGTCTCGAGCTGCAGTCTGCCCAGGAGCCCCAGCTCTGCCCTGCCCATTGCATTTCCCCTTAGCATCGCTGTTTGCTTCCAGCCCTTTTTGGAATTTTTTTCTGCCTTTCAACCTTAATGACTCTGTGATTCTGAAGTGAGAGTCCCTCTGGTGCTTGCAGCAGCAGCTGAGACACTTGTCCTGTCCTACCTTGGCCATGGATTTGGTGTCTCAGCAAATGAAATTCCCCTCAGTGGGCATTCCTGTGGGGTTTTAATTTGGAAGTTTACTTACTTTATCATTGTACCAGTGAGTCCAAACTGCTAAAACCGTTTCTGTATGGTCACACCGGCCCCACAGCACTGGGGGTATCCCTGTGGGGAGGTGTCCCTGCCAAGGGGCTGCTCGCAGCACAGCTCTTTCCCCCCCAGCCCTACCCAGATTTCAGAGCTGTGCCTCTGGCCAGGGCTGTGATCCCTGGTGTGACCGGTCTGACCGGGGTGGGGCCGTCAGCAGTGCTTGGGAATTCCTGCTTTAGAACAAAACCCCTCTGTTACCTCTAGGAAGTCGAGTCTGGCCAAGGAGGTTCATTGAAAGATTTCTGTCCCTGGTTGGAGTCCTTCAAAGCATTAACATCTTTCTCTGCTATTCCTGAGTCCCCGTAGCAGACACTGGATGATGGACACATCCTGCTTCCAGAGGAATTCCCCATATCCTGCTCAGCAGGAACTTCACAATTTGAGGCACAAAGCTGGGAGAGACCAGCAACACAAGGGCTGCCCTGGAGCCTGGCTGATTTTATGGTGATGGCTTTAGAATAGTTGCTTGGAAAGTAGAACGGAGCAATTTGGGGTCATGTTGCAGCTTTTTGGTGAGGTGAAGGAGATGCTTGCTCAGGATGCTGGCAGTGATGGCACAGATTAAGCCCACAGCCATCCCCATGTGGGCCCAGGCTGCAGCAGCAGCAGGTGCAGCCCTGTGGGGTTTGGCAGTGGGAAATGCTGGCACACAATTGCTGCTCCCTTTTGTTATCTCCATGGATGAGCAGGAGGCATCTCCAGCGGGGCCCTGCGAGTGCTGCTCACACCCAGAGCTGCCAGTTTGGATTGCCAGCTGGGCTGGGCAGCACTGGCTGTAATTTGGGGTGGTTGCTACTTGGCAGGGTTTAAAATCTCAGTTTCCATGTCTGTCGTGGATGACTCTGTGCTTTTAATCATTTGGCCTGATGGCAGTTGTAGTAAAGCTGCCCTCAGATTATCATAGAATCCCAAAGTGTTTTGGGTTGGAAGGGACCTTAAAGCTGATTTTGTTCCACCCCTGCCCTGGGCAGGAACCTCTTCCACTGTCCCAGGCTGCTCCAAGCCCCATCCAATCTGGCCATGACACTTCCAAAGATGGGGCAGTCACAGCTTCTCTGGCACCTTGTGCCAGGGCCTCACCATCCTCTCGGAATAATTTCTTCTGGAAGGGGCTCTGAGGTCTCCCCAGAGAACACTCCCAGCTCTCCCAGGCTGGCTGCAGAGAAAGGGGCTCCAGCTCCACGACCTGGCTCCAGCAGCTCTGTGTTCTCCCTGTGCTGGGCCCCAGGGCTGGGGGCAGCTCTGCAGGTGAGGTCTCACCTGAGACAGGGTGCAGAATCCCTGCACAGGGGCAGAATCCCCCCCTGCCCTGCTGCCCACGCTGGGGGAACAGCCCAGCACAGGGGGGTTCTGGGCTGCTGTGCCATGTCGAGCTTCTCATCCACCAGCACCCCCAAGTCCTTCCTCTCGGGGCTGCTCTCACTTAATTCTTCTGCATTTGTACTTGGGATTGCCCTGTTAGTCTTCATGAAATTGTCTTCATGTTTTCCACTCTTTTTATCTGCTCATGATCTGGCAACGGTGCAAAGAATCCTTGTCCCAGGGACTGGCCTCATCCTGCTGAGCAACAGAGCATCCCCTGGCAAAGAAGCTCATCTCTCCTGGAACAGAGAGCTGCTGGCATCTGGAATTGGTGCTGTGCCAGCTGCTGGGTCCAGGGCACAGGTGGGGGCACGCAGCAGACCCCTAGGGCTCACAGCTCTTCCAGCCTCCTTGCCCTGCTCACCATTGCACGCCAGCTCTGCATTAGTAATGGGCTATTTCTGGATGGCTCTCCTGAGTAATGGAATGAATTGTGCTGAGATTTTGGGTGGGGACAGTGGCTCTGCCCTCTGAGTCACCACTCGGCACCACGCCGGGTCAGGGAGGACGCTGGGGGCCGTGGGAAGGAGCTCTGGGTGCAGGGACTGTGCCCAGCCTGGGGCCTCTGCCGTCCCCCTGGCAGGGCAGGGAGGGCAGGGCAGCGTCCGGGCAGGAGCAGTGCCACTCGGGCTGGTTTTGGTTTGTCTGCAGATCGGGCACGGGCAGACCCCGGTGTCCCTCTGGGAGTGGGTGTTTGTGTCCTTGGGCATCTGCTGCTCCTTGGCTGCAGGTGTTGTCATCTCGTGGTGCTGTGGGTCAGATACTGGCACGGCCCAAACCGCCTTTCCTCTTGGAGATACGGAGTCACAAAGCAGCAGATCATGTTTTCTGTGGGCAAAGAAGCTTTGTGTCCAAGTTAACAGGTTTTTTTCTCCCTGAGCTCTCATTTTTCTGTGCTGTGGAGAGAGGACGAGCCTTTGGTCAGAGAGGAAGGATGGTTTGCAGCAGGGTCTGGAATTGTGCATCTTGGAGGTCTTTTCTAGCCTTAATGGTTCTGTGGGACTGTGGGTTTGCCTGGCCCAGCTGGGACGGGCAGGAGCAGCAGGGCATGGGGAATAGGGACAGGAGCTGTTTCCCTGCCCATGCTCAGCATTTGCCGCCCTAAAAAGTGCTCTTAGTCCCTAAAATGGGCAACTTTGAAGCACCTTTTTTTTTTTTCACTGACTTCAGTGCTGCACAAATGTTCTCACCTTCCTGTAGACACGCTGCTCCACTGGGATGTGTGCCTGACACCAGGGATCCCAGCTGAGGAACGTCACATCCTCCCAGATGCAGCCCTTGATTCTCACTCTTCTCACCTTACAAGTGCCAGCTTGCTATTTTTATTAACAGCTCCAGAGCACTCAGCAGCCATGAACTCAGCTTGTGAGCCAAAATGCTTGGAGCCTACAAAGATCCATGGATACAGCAGGGTCTGGTCTGGGGATGGGTGAAAACTGTCTCTGTCTTTGGGCAGTTTGATTTGTGAAACTGGGGTGGTTCCCTGGGGTTTGTGTGACCTGCCAGGCATGTGAATGAGACAAGCAGGTCTGCAGCCTGGCTTTGGAATGTGAGTCAGCCATTCAGGCTCATTTCTTAATCCTTCACTTGCAGCTAATTATGATGCAGCTGGACTCCTCTTTTACCCTTTTCCTCCCTTTTCTGTTGGCACAGGGTGAGGGTGGGATCACTGGGGCAGGGACAGATTCCTGGCCTTTCTTAAGGCTCAGTATGAATGCCATGGTTAAAGGCCAGGCTTGTGATATTCTGGCCTTCCCAAGGTGATCCCAGTGATCCTGGAGTGATCCCAGCATGATCCAATCCCACTGCTTTCAGCTCAGTGCATCAACTTTGGTGTGTGCGTCCTTCCCCAGCATGGATGGCTCCTTCCCGTCCTGCTGCCTGGGCAGAGGGTTTGGAGAGGGATGCAGCTGAGGGGGAAAGCATGGAACATCCTTGCCTTCAGGAAAGGTTTCTTGTTCACCTGTAATTTCCCCCAGAGGAGTGTGAATTTTCAGGGATTAAACCCTGACATGACAGCCTGTGTCATTGCCAGGATCTCTGCAGGAACAGGGAGCTGATGATGTACTGAGAGCATGCAAGGAGTGGGTCAGGCTCTTTGTACTGGGAATCTGGGGCTGGAAAAGACATTTTGGTCACAAGGCTGGGGAGGGATGTGATCCCACCATGGCTGATTTTCTCATGGCTCATTGAGAAGCTGTGCCAGGCATTTTGTGGCATTGTCCTGGCTGGTTCCCAGGCTCAGCTGTAAACCCCTTTTGAAAGTGAGGGATGCAAAGGCGTAGTTTTCCTTGCAGAACTGCATGGTTTTCCCTTGAGGCAGAAAGCCTCCTGCTTTGTGGGGGGGTTTCAGCTCTGTTTGCTGAGTGATGACTGGCAGCTTCTCCCTGTGCCAGTGCCAGTGTCGGCTCTCTTGGTTCCGTGGCAAAGGCTCCTTTTTCAGACAGGCTGGGATGGGGCCAGCCCGGTGCTGGCTGCCAGGCACACACATCCTGCTTGCCCAGACCTCCAAGAGCTTGGCTTGGCGTGTTCCAGCTGCTGATCAGATTATTTGGGGTCTGGTGAGTGTGCTGGGGTGAAACCCAGAGCACAGTTTCTGCCCTGAAGAATTTATGGTTTAAAATAAACCCAGCATGCGCGTGCAACTCTGAGGTTGTCTAAAATCCTGGTTACCTGGGTGGTAAAGCAAAGCCAGGGAGGGTTGGATGTCTGGGGAAGGCAGAGTGGTTTGTCACCTCCCACGAGGTCCCTGCCTGCAGCCACCAGCACTGACCACATCTGGGACAGTTCTCCCAGCCACAGCAGCAGTGCTGGGTGTAAATGGTTCCAGTCAGGCCAGATCTTGTGGTGCCCATGTGCTGATGTGTGTGGGAGCTGGAGGGGTGTGTGGCAGAGGGCTGGGGGAGCCTCTGTCCTGTCTGTCACTCACAGTGAGATGTGCCCAGGTGCTTGTGTCTGGTATCTCCCAGGCTGTTGTGCACAGGAATTTGGGAGGCCAGGAGCATGAGCTGCCCCTGCTGCTCTATCCTGCTCACCTGCTCGTGTCCCCACAGCGATGGCAGCCATCAGGAAGAAGCTGGTGATTGTGGGAGACGGTGCCTGTGGAAAGACGTGTCTGCTGATTGTGTTCAGCAAAGATCAGTTCCCTGAGGTCTACGTGCCCACCGTGTTTGAGAACTACATTGCTGACATAGAGGTGGATGGGAAGCAGGTAAGGGCCGTGCCCATTCCCATCCCCTGGCTCTGTGGTGCCATGCTGGCAGTGCCACCCCCCAGTGCTGCCAGGATTGCTCTGTGTGCTCGGGTGCAGCTGCAGTGCACTGAGGAGCCCCATGGCTCCAGCATTTCTGGGTCACCCTGAACCTGCCCCAGTTTGAGGAAGAGCACAGCTATAGCTGAGGAAGATCAATCTGTCACTCCTGGCCTGCAGAGCCACTGAGCCATGTCCTTCTCCACTGTCAGGTTGAGCTGGCCCTGTGGGACACAGCAGGACAGGAGGACTATGACAGGCTGCGGCCGCTCTCGTACCCGGACACGGACGTGATCCTCATGTGCTTTTCCATCGACAGCCCAGATAGCCTCGGTAGGGACCTGGGGCTCCCGCAGGACTCGGTGCTGCTGCTGCTGAACCCCCTGGCGTCTGCCTGGCGTCATGCTGCCCCTCGAGGATGCCAGAACCTTCCCTTCATCCCCTGACTGTGTGTGCACTTCAGGGACATGCTGGCAACCTGCCGGCTGGGTGGAGGTGGGAGAGGAGGATGCTGTGGGGTGAGCTCTCCCTGCTCCTGCGAAAAGCTTGGGGCTGGTTGCTGTGAGGACGCTGTGGGGTAGCAGCCCCTCAGCTCATAGGATTCCATGTGTGCTCGTAGAGAACATCCCTGAGAAGTGGACGCCGGAGGTGAAGCACTTCTGCCCCAGTGTGCCCATCATCCTGGTGGGGAACAAGAAGGACCTGCGGAACGACGAGCACACGCGGCGGGAGCTGGCCAAGATGAAGCAGGTGGGGACAGCCCTGGGTCCCCCCAGGCAGCAAAGCCACCTCTGCCCACACCAGATCCTGGCTGGAAGGGCTGCATGCCCCAAGGGCAGTTGCTGCTGTGTTCTGGCAATGTTTCCAAACGCTGTTTTTACTGCTTCCTAGGAGCCGGTGAAGCCAGAGGAGGGGAGGGACATGGCCAACAGGATCAATGCCTTTGGCTACCTCGAGTGCTCGGCCAAGACGAAGGAGGGGGTGCGGGAGGTGTTCGAGATGGCCACGCGGGCTGGCCTGCAGGTGCGCAAGAACAAGAAGCGCAGGGGCTGCCCGCTGCTGTGAGCGGCCCCGGCCCTGCCCGGGAGGGAGTGCAGCCACACAGCCCGGGCAGGACCTCGTGGTGCCACTACCTGCCCCGAACCCTTTGCACCAGAGCTGCCAGCCACGCTCACAGGGTGTCCCTGCGGCGTCCCGGGGCCACGAGGGGCCAGTGCCTTCAGAACCTGCTGCTCTCCGTGGGCTGGGTGTTTGTGTCGCTCCCCGTGCTGCCCTGGTTTGTACGGAGCTCCCTGGTTTTGCCTTTCCCGTGGGCATTGCTGTGGTGTTTGCTCTCCTTCCTCAGCTCTGGGCAGGTGCCACAGAAGCCAGAGGTGCTGGTCACGGCTCGTGTGTGGGCTGTGCCAGGCCCTCGGTGTGCTGTGCCCGCTCTCCTTGGCCGTGCAGGCAGCACACAGCAGTGTTACAGACTTGCCCAGGCAGGCTCAGCCCTGCCTGTGAGCAGAGCTGGCTCAGCCGCTGCCAGGAGCTCTCCTCCCGGGCCGTGTGCCCAGCTCTGCCCGTGCCGCCGCCTTCGAGTCTGCCTCGGTCATGGACTTGGCAGCACTAAACCCAACTGCATAATTGGGAGAATAAATGCAAACCGGTATTTTAGTAATTGTAACTTTGCCTGTGCGGTGTTCTTCTTCTGGCTCTCCTTTGTGCCCCTCGCTGCTCCAGGCTCCTGCCTGGGGCTTGGGGCCTTGTGCTGCAGGGTGGGGACTTGCGTGGCCCCCAGCCCCTCTGCCCTCAGCTGCTGCTGGAGGATCAGGGCTCAGTACCCGCTGCTTGCAACAGAGCCAGGATGCAGTTTACATGGGAAGGGCCAGGCAGGAGCTTCCCAGCTATACCCAGGCCCTGGGTGATGGGCACTGCCATCCCTGCTGGAGCCATCGTGCCTCTGGAGCAGGTCAGGGCAGGGCTGCAGCGAGCCTCATGCTGCTCTGAAGCCCTGTCTGTGTAAACAAGGCCCGCCTAGCACTCAACAATACACTGCTTTTCTCTAAACATTTATTCCAGGGAAATAGAGTGCCTGCACAGCCATGCCAGCTCTCAGGCCAGGCAGCTGCCCAGTGGAGAGCTGAGCCAGCCTGTCCCAGGCCAGGTCTTTGCCTTCCCCAGTCACCCATCACAGCAGCAGTGAGCTCCCCTGTGCACCCAGTGGTGCTCTCAGAGGCCAGAGCCTCCAGGCTTAAGCCTTTCACTGAATGGTGCGACTGGTCACAGAGAACTGTTTTGCCACAGCTGTGTCAAAAAATGATTAAAATGGAGAGTTGTCCCAGTCTGATGCTGGTGTGGGCTTCGTGACTGGCAGCAAAGGCAGGCAACAACTTCTGGTCTGGTGGGTTCAGCCCCATCTCCACAGGGATGGTTGGAGCACCCCAGGACTGAGACAGAAAGAGCAGGAGCTGCTGCAGGCCAGGGACAGGCTGAGGGGATGCAGCTTCATGGGGCTTCTCCTCCCTTCCTACGTGTGTTTCCTGCAGAGAAACCTCATGACAGAGCTGGCCCCTGACTTCGAGATGGAGACATGCAAGCCCTAAGCAAAAACCTGCTGTAAGCCCTGTTGCATTTGGGGCAGGAGAAGCCTCCCAGTGCCCCAGCTGTAACCCTGGCCCTGCTGCTGCCCCGGGGTGCTGGCATGACATGACCAGCACCCTGCAGCTGTCGGGGCCCCACTGGCAGCGCCCAGCTCTGCCCACCTGGGTACTAAACACTGAGCTGCAGCATGCCGAGCTCCTCGGTGATTCTGTCCTCAGCTGTGCTCTCATCCTTGTAGGGGTATCCTGTGTAGCCACCCTGTTCCTGGCAGTACCTGAGGAACCTGCAGGTGCAGAGGCAGGGGGGTACGAGGGGGCACCAGGCATGGCCAGGCACCAAATGCTGGCAGCAGGAGAGGGCAGGGGCTGGTGAGCACTGCCTGTGCCAGGGGCCAGGAGCAGCTCACCTGTGCCAGTGCTGGTCCTTGCTGAGCACAGTCGGATTACCCACCACGATCAGCAGAGCCTTGGCCCTGGTGATGGCCACGTTAAACCTCTGAAGAAGACAAGCAAGAGGGCTTTACCTGGCCACCACACCTGTCGTCACCTCGCGGCCCCTCCTGGGTGCAGGCAGCTCCTGAGCACCCAGAGCAGCTCTACAGACTGTGAGGACCAGAGGGAAGAAGGGGATGCCAAGGAAGAAGGGTGTGTGTGCTCGGGGCAAGGCGGTACCTTGGGGTTCTTGAGGAAGCCCAGCCTGAAGGTCTGGTCGAACTGGAGGTACGTGCTGCAGCTGCGCACGGTGGAGATGAGGATCACTTGCCGCTCCTGGCCCTGGAACTCCTCCACAGAGCCCACCTGGGGCAGGGACACAGGTGAGGGGCCAGAAGGTGAGCCCCCGGGGCTGGGGCTGGGGCTGGCAGGGCTCCCTCCTCCTGGGGCGGGGTGTGCTCCTCTCTCCTCCATGCCCAGGACATACCTTCAAGTGGCTGACGGCCGGCAGCTTGCGCAGATCGGGATCCAGGGAGGTGATGGCTTTCCGGATCTTCTCCACCTGAGTGGAGGCATGTGGCAAATTCCAGCCACCACAGGGGCATCCTTGTGCCAGCCCTGAGGCGGCCCATCCATCCCAGTGTTCCCTGTCCCTCGGGGAAGTCTCTGCCTATGCTCTGCCTGCAGAGCTGAGTCCCTCACCTGCTTCCTGTAGGGAGAAATGATGCCGATCTCCTTGGGGGACACAGCGGGGCAGCTCCCCTTGCCCTGGCTCAGCAGCAACTTCTTGAGGTAGTGGACCACGACCTCAATTTCGGCAGTGTTGAAGAATGAGGGGCTCTTGGCCTCTCTCTGGTCTTCCCCACAAACCCCATGGAAGATGATGGGGAAGCCCTGGGGATGGAGAACATTTGGTTCTGCTCTGCCTTTGCCTGGGGGATCCCCCTGGGTCAATCCCTCCTGCGCCCCTCACTTTTTTGGGAAGCTCCTCCCAGGTGCAATACAGATTCTGGATGTCACGCCCATCTCTCTTGCACACCTTCAGCTCATTGTCATAGAAGAGCTCGTTGGGAATCCTGAGAATGGCCTCGTGGGACCTGGCAGAGGCAGGACAGTGCCCAGGGTGGGTGCCATGTGGGTCCAGAACCCTCTCAGGCACCGTGCACCCAGGACAGCAGGTGCACTCCAGCCTCCCACACTGGCTGGGGCACCATGAGGCTCTGGGAGACAGATCCTGGAGAGCCATGCTCACCAATCCCTGCCCGGCTCCATCCCTGTCCCCACCTGTAGTTCCAGAGCAGCTTGGTGATGAACTGTGGGTTGTATCCTCCACTCGACTTCTTGTACAGGGGGTTGTGCAGCATCAGCCTCTCCAGCAGCGAGGTGCCTGTGCCCAGTGACATCCTGTGGCTCCCCACAAGGCCACTCAGCCCTGTGGGGTGCCTGCAGCACTCCCAGCTCCCTCCCTACTCACCCAAACCATGCTGGATGGCCAGTGGTGAGGTCAGGACAGGGCCCAGCTGCTTGGGGTCTCCTGCCAGCACCAGCTGCCCCCCATTGGGGTTGGTCTTCTGATCCATGGGAGCCAGGAGCCCTGGGAACAGGGAGAGCTCAGTGGGGAATAGGAGGGAGCCCAGGCCATGTAGAGATGCTGGTCCTTGAGACAGGAGCTGAGCACTCACCTGCGATGGCCACCACGCTCTCCGGCTCTACCGCACGGCCACACTCGTCGATGAAGACGTGGGAGAAAAACCCAGGGGGGAAGTTGGCTGACACCAGCCTGGAGGAGAGGGAGTGAGGCTGTCTCAGCATCCTGCTCCACCTGGCCATCCTTCCTCTCCTACCCTTCATCCTCATCCTCCCATAGAGGAGGGATTTCCCCTCTTGCTGCCTGCCCTCTTCCAACCCGTCCCTGCTGAATCCCAGAGGGACTGCCTTCACGGCCTGGCTGCAAGGCAGCCCTGGGTCCACCTGCCACGGATGCTGGGGACAATCCCAGCTCCTCTGACCTTCCTGCTGTCACCAGTGTAGTGATGATAATCCGGTACTGCTTCAGGCTCTCCTTGCTTGGGTAGACGTAGCTGCTCTGCTCCTCATCCCAGTTGCAGCAGGGCTGGAGCACAGGTATTGGGTGAGGTCCCACTATCCTGGGGGATGCCAGCCCAGATGTGCTGGCAGGATTTCAGGGTGGAGGGGCAGGGACCTACCATGATATCGGTGGGCACTTCCCTGTAGTTCCGGGAGCTGGCGATGAGCCTGTAGACGTTCTCAGGGGCGATGTCCTTGATGAGACACTGGCACAGCAGGTCTGTGGCACTGTTGGAGGGGGCACAGACCAAGATACGGGCATTCTTGAAGCACGTCCACACCTAGGTGGGAGGAGGAGGAGGTGACAGCATTGAGCCCCACGGATGAGAGTAGGCAGCAATGCTCAGGGCTGGATTTGGGCACTGGCCACTCACCTGCTTGATGGCCTCCACCATAGTGACCGTCTTGCCAGTGCCAGGGGGACCAAAGATGAGGTATGGGGCTGGTCGGGACATCCCGGTGACAATGTGGGTCACGGCTTTGCACTGCTCCTCGTTGGTCTCCAGCTCACGGTTAAACCACCTGTGGGAGCAGAGGCTGTGCTGCTGGAGCCCCATCGCTTCCAGCCCCTCCCACCCTGCGGAACCGGGCACTCACCGGGGCTGGAAGGGGCCTGGGAAGAGGGACTGGTGGCAGGAGGCAGAGGGGAAGAGGAGGCTGAACAAGCTGTGGCGCATGGCCAGGACTGCAGCCCGATGCTGGACCTGCAGTGGCAGCCGGCTGAAGGTGAAGGTCACATCGAACTTCAGGTTTTTCACAAACTTCTTCTGCAGCCTAGGAAGAACAGTGTGAGCAGTGCATGGGACACTCTCTCATGCTCTCCTGGCCCTTTCCAACCCGCTCCTGGCCTTTGACATCTCCGAGAAAGTCTGCTGGGACCAGACATCACTCACTTGGAGGAGAAGCCCAGCCTGACCTTCTCCAGTTCCACGCTGTGCACGTATCCCTTGTAGCGCACGAGAGGGGAGTGGTCCCGCTCGC